GGACCTCTGAGACTATCACAGTGCAGGTGCATTTATATGGAGACTTGATTACACACAGGTGGATTCTATTTATCATCCTTTGTCATTTAGGTCAACATTGGATCATTCAGAGATCCTCACTGAACTTCTGGAGAGCGTTTGCTGCACTGAAAGTAAAGGGGCTGAATAATTTTGCACGCCCAATTTTTCAGTTTTTTTATTTGTTAAAAAAGTTTGAAATATCCAATAAATTTCGTTCTACTTCATGATTGTGTCCCACTTGTTGTTGATTCTTCACAAAAAATTACAGTTTTATATCTTTATGTTTGAAGCCTGAAATGTGGCAAAAGGTCGCAAAGTTCAAGGGGGCCGAATACTTTCGCAAGGCACTGTATAACAAGTAAGCAGGTGTGCAGAGCCACAGGACCAAACCAACTGTAGTTAGTGGAGGGACATGAGGCCACACAGACCAGCTGCTCCACATCCATTAAGATGACAGGGCCTAACATTATGCTATTTGACCTCTCATTTATTTAGAAACTGTTTAGTTTTGCTTTATGTTATGAAGTTTCTACCTCTGTAGATGCAAAATTTATGCATGAAACAATATATGGAACAAGTCGTGTCACCTTTTGATTCAATGTGGGACAGAACGTAACAAACAGGACATTATCTGTCAAAACTGGACAATCCTGTATTACAAGGGATATATAGTAACTGTGAGGTTGAGACAGCTTAGAGCTTAAGGCACCTTAAAAGAAAACATCCAACAGAATATGGTTGACTTCTCACAGGTGATGGAGGTGAAGTCAACACTAAAGTTACCAGTTCAGTCTCTGTACTGACAAACATTATTATCTAGTATTAAAAGACTCCAAAAACCTGATCTAGATATCCCAAGATTGAACATAATCCAGGCTTTTGCAGAGTCATTCAATAGCAGTCTCCTTGTGCATTAGGTAGTGGGAAGCAACATTGCAAATATATGACTAGTCCCCTCTCATTGACCCTAAGCTATACATTTTTTACAAAACAGCAGACGCTGTGGCCATGTGAGGCGTGTTCTTACTAATAATGAAAATCACCCTAACAGCCACAAGTGACAATTACAAGACAATGGAATGTAAATTCTTTCCCTGAATTTCTTCAGAGTCCTTTGAATTGAATCCTTTAAAACCATTATAAATAGGCAGCTTGACTGAGAGTGAGTGGAATTGGATCACAAGCAGGCAACAACAGATATATTTCCTTGTTCATCTTTGTTCTTGTGATGAAACCATTAATTGTTTACCTGTGACACGTTGTAATGATGTCTAACAGTAGCACAAGTACAAAACTGTCAGTCTCAGTAATCTCAGTTACACAAGGTCTGTTTGTCAAATCAAATCAAATCAAATTTTACTTGTATAGCGCCAAATCACAACAAAAATAATCTCAGGACACTTTACAGAGTAAGGTCTAGACCTTACTATTATCACTATTATTACAGAGGGAAAACCCAACAAATCCCCCTTGAGCAAGCACTTGGCGATAGTGGGGAGGAAAAATTCCCTTTAACGGAAGAAACCTCCAACAGACCCCGGCTCTTGGTGGGCGGCCTTCTGCCTCGACCGGTTGGGGTGAGTGGATAGAGGAGAGAGAGAAAAGAAAAGAAAAGCAACAAGACACAAAAAACACAACAACAAAAAATCAAACACTGGGCAGGTTGATGTGGCCGATGACTGCTCATCAGAGACATAGAGCTCCAGAGTCAGGGCTACCTGCAGAAGGGTAGAGGGAGAGAGAGGACACACTATGGGAGAGAGGAGACACAAAGTTAGTGATGTGTAATGGTGGCATATAGAAGCATAGGGAGAGAAGAAAGGAGAGGAGAGGAGAGGGAAGGGGAGGAAAGAAACTCAGAGCATCATGGGACCCCCCCAGCAGCCTAGGCTGGCCTAGCCAGGCCAGGTTTCTAACAATGGCTAACTGTAGCCTTCAGCTACTGGTATACCAGAATATGTAATTCAGTTCAGTTTTACAGGTATTTATATAACACCAAATTACAATAAACAAACAAACAAATAAACAATAAACAAACAAACAAACAAATAAATAAATCTAAGGCACTTTACACAGTAAGGTACCTTAAATAAGTAAGAAGTAAGAAAACCCGACAAATCCCCCTTGAGCAGCACTTGGTGACACTGGGGAAGAAATACTCCCTTTAACAGAAAAACCTCCGACAGACCCCAGCTCATGGTCGGCGGCCTTCTGCCTCAACTGGTTGGGTTGAGCGGATAGAGGAGAGAGAAATGAAAAGCACCAAGTAACAACAAACAAACACTACCTATAGTAGCAAAACCCCTGAGTACTGTATATGGAACTGCACAAAGATGTGTTTTATTGCTTGTGAATTCAAATTTTCATTTGTAAGAAAAATGTACACAGTTATCTTTCAAAGGTTGCACAGACTTGCTTTAACCCCCTGTGTAGGTTTTTTTTATAGTGCTAAACTCATAAATAGAATTACATTTAAATGTGTTGGGCCAACACTCAGATTCATGTATCACCTCACAAACTTACCACTTGTTATCACAGAACTTGTAGCGGTGGTCATCAGCTGGGACAATGTCAATAAGTAGGATGTACTTGGTTTTAGGATTCATCCTGGTCACTTTGACTTTGTAGCTAGGAAACATCCTCCTGTTACAGGATTATACAGGGAAGCCATTAGAAATACTTGTATTTATTGTGCAGTACTTTAACAGTGTGAAATATTCTGAAAAGCAAATGACTGCATTCATACAAATCAGTCCACCTGACTGTAACTGGCTTTAAAAGACAGTCACCTGTTGCTCACTGAGGTTTAGCTTAACTATGTCATTTGTGTACAGCAGTGGTGGGCAGTCAGGGCCAGCAAGGCCTTCTCTGCTGGCCTAAACACTATCAGAAGCACTGGCCTACATTTACAACCTAAATTCTAATATTTGTTCCATGAAATTGTATTAATTTATTCCCAACAGTCTATTCTCCTCATTTCATAGCGTTTCTCTTGGCTGCACCGCTTCCAGCACATGTATGTGGATGTTAGATTTTTTGTACAATCAGATTTCAGCCTCTATGTGTTGCCATGTCAATCTAATCTGCCCAGGGCCTTCAGAATCAGAAGTGCTGGCCGATGTAACTTAAACTGTATTAGCAATGGGACTGTTTCTTTAATCAATCAAATTTCAAATTCGCCTCACAGGGCCAGCTAGCTGGCCAACAATGATGTCAGCATTTTTCCGTCCTCTGATTGGTTGGTCAGAGCAAAACTAGAAAAGGACTTACTAATGGAACTGAAACGCAGAGATCACCTCCACGAGGATGGATTTTGTCTATAAATAAATAGCATCTCTGGTGAGTATGATGTATTTAATTTAAATTGTGTATGTTTTTGTCATGTTATTAGATAAATAATGAGTCTGAACTGCTCCAGATGATGTACAGTTGCAGTTGTAGTGTAGAGGTTTGGAGTTGTCTTAACTGGGTTTCTTGCTTTAGTAAAAATGGTATTCACCCTCAATACGCGAAATACCTCTCTCTCTCTGTAATCCCACGCTAATTATATTGCGTTTCTGTACAGTATTGATGGTTTCTATAATTGCGACGTGATAGCGGTGGTATTAAGAGGTGATTTAAGTCGGGTAAGTCCCCACTGAAGGCCCAGGTACGAAATGCACGGCCCACCACTGGTGTACAGTAAGCCCAGGTTTTTATTGTAAAACAGAAATGAGTGTCAGTGGAAACCTTTAATAAGCATTTGATCTAAACTTATTTGTACATGATTGTAATTTTCTATAAAAGAGCAAAGGCAAAGCAAGGTTTATTAATATAGCACCATTCTAAACCTGGGTTAAATGCTTCACAGAAGAATAAAAACAAAAGAATACAAAGTAATATACAAAGTACAAAAACAGGAGCAACAAGCAAGTAACACTAAACTAAACACAAAACAAAAAGGCAAATCACCACATATAGTACAAATTAAAGTAACACAGTAGTACTGGCTGGTAGTACGGGCGTACTGTACATTTGCCCTAGTCTGTAACAGTGTTAAACGCCTGCCTGAATAAATAGGTTTTAGGAAGTAAGCGAAAGGCAGCCAGACTGGGGGCAGACCTAATGTCTTGTGGACGGCTATTCCACAGTCTTGGAGCTGCCACCACAATGTTGAAGTTTGGACCTAGGCACCTCTAAAAGTAACTGGTTGGAAGATCTAAGAGATCTACTTTGTGTATGATGTAAGAGCTCTGAGATGCAGAAGGGTGCCAAACCATGCATTGCTTTGAAAACAAATAATAAAAGCTTAAAATTAATCCTGTCCTGCCCGGGGTATATGCTCACATTTATGTGTATTTGTCAAAAGAGGAGTAGCTGCATTTTGGACCAACTGAAGATGGGGCAGGGATGCTTGAGAGATCCCAACGTACAGAGCATTACAGTAGTCAAAGCCAGAAAAATACCTGCATTTTCACATGCAACCAATTGCAAGGTTTAAAAAAACATGCTTTTCTCAGTGGTCTGCATGTTGTCCTTTGCACTTACCATCTCAGTAAAAAAAAGCTTCTTTGGGAAGTTAAAAATAATTCAAGTTAAGTTAAAAACAACGTGTAGAATAAGTGCAGTATCGTCATGGATAATGGAGCTGATTAGCTCACTGACTGCTGCTCCCTGATGTTCTTAAGGGACGGTGATGAACAAGGTCCAATAGAGATCACAGGGCTGAGACACAAGTAGGGTGAGAAGATGCCTTCTCTGAAACCTGAAATAATCTTCACCTGAGCGTTAAGTAGATAAAACGTACTTCCCCAACTGAGCACATTTGTCTCTCTCCAGGCTCTGATTTGGGAGAGAACTTAAATTTTCTCATACTTGTAAAAGAAAAACACCATAAAAATATGGGAACACACTATCTTTTATCCTGTAAAAGACTGAGACTAAAAAACAGAATATGCTAATGTAGTAATCAAGGCCATAAAACAACAGGGGGCTACCTTTCCTGACCTCTTCTGGGAAACCAAAAACATTTTCACCCCATCTGCACCAAAGGAAATTTTGCAAAGAGCTCTGCAACCCCTTATAAACTCCTAAGTGCTTTTTAATGGCATACCAGTTCAGACAACAGTTTAGACAGCTGACTTGTCATTGCTCAAGAGGCTGCAGTCAAAAGGCCTGCAGTTTATCTGTGGGTGCTGCTCATGGCAACATGTTCAAACACTCATAAAGCCTTGTATGTTTTCTGGGCGCATGGCCGAGCATCAAAACCCCTAGCTTCATACTTGGTGTTCTTATTGGTGCAGATGCCCATCTTTAAAGGCTCACAATGCCTGACACCATCTTATCATGTTACTGTAAATACTCCCTCCTGTAAGAGAAAAAAGAGGACAGGGATTCAGGGCAGGTAATTTAAATCTCTCTCTTTGGCTTAAAATCCAGTCAGTAGGAGAGATAATTCCTGGTATCATCCTCACTGAAAGATGGGTTAATCCTCAAGGAACATTCAAAACAGACCTCTGCTCATTTCTGGCTACACTCACACCCCTCAGACAGAGCAGATAAAGGCCAGCGTTAACACAAAAGGCCTTAGGATCAGAATCAGAATCAGAATCTGTTTTATTGGCCAGGTGTGTCAGACACACGAAGATTTTGACTCTGGTACATGAGCTCTCAATCTGTATGTACATATCCCCATGCAAGAGGCAAGTAAACAGTAAACCATCATAAGGCTGTGAAATATAACAAAATAAGCAGCATTAACAAGCAACAACCAGGGCAAAAGATGCAAAATAAGCAGTATAAACAGGCAGTAAACAATGCAGACAGACAAAGGAATGTTCACTGAAATGAGATAAATAGGAATAAAAACAGAGTACTTAAAACTAGAGACCTGTACGAATCCGTATAATCTGTATGAGGTATATTTACAGGTGTTGCACTGAGGGTTATTGTCCAGTCATACTGTCATGGGTGTTCATCAGAGTGATGACCTGGGGGAAGAAACTGTATATATAAATATAAATATACAATTTGCTAAAAGTCAAGGTCACTGCTTAGTCCTATTTGAAATTATCCAAACAGGAATAAAAGAGCAGTATTTTAAAGAAGAATCCTCTTTATTTTCATATGTACAATGAAATTTTGTTTGGAGCCAAGGGCCCCAGTGTACATATGCATCACCATCACAGGTAACTTCAGGGGTTCAGTGTCTTGCCTAAGAAAACTTTGACATGTGGACTGCAAGCACCGAGATTTGAACCTCCCACCTCCTAGGTGGGAGACAACTGCTCTACCCACTGCACCACCATCACACATTTCAAGCAGCTCTCATGAGTTACATATATTCTGACAGTATAAAAAAACTTAAATGAGATATTTGAAAAAGAACATTTATCAAAATTAGAGAACGCTTTCAGATACCTCCCAGTTATTGGTGATAATCTGGCACCGGTGCTAATTTCCTTAATTGTCTGACAGACCCCATTTAAACGGCAACTTTCCAGTTTTCACTGACTTTGCAAGGCCGCTCTAAAGTGACTGAAACCTGTTTGTGTGTGTATATATATATATATAAGAAAGTCACTTTCAGCTTTACCCATTTAGGGATCGCCACAGTGAATCATCACACTGACGAATTGCATGTTGACATTTGGCACGTGTTTTATGCCGGATGTAATATATATATATATATATATATATATATACTGTATATATATCAAATAAATCTATATCTTTCAGAGAGAGAGAGCACACATATTATACCACAACT